AAAAAAAAAAAAAAAAAAAAAAAAAAAAAAAAAAAAAAAAAAAAAAAAAAAAAAAAAAAAAAAAAAAAAATTAATATTCAACTTAATCATTATTAATATAGAATGTTCGCTATTAGAGTGTTTTAAACATTACGTGAATAATGGAAAAGTAGGTTACAAAAGGCATGAAAGAAATAACTTTGCGAATTACGCACTACAAACTATGTATGTTTAGGTTACGTGAGCTAACACCAGTTAGCGACAAAAGTTGCCCATACAATCAATATATTTTTATATTAAGTATCAAAATTAGATGGAGAGACAGCATGAGAATAACGTACTCCCATGATATATCGTTACTTTACATAATATTTATAGGTCTATTCTCTAAATTTCTTTTCTTTAATTTTCCTTGCGAGCATAGCGAGCCACAGAGACAATGGTTCATGTAATTATGTGATGCATATATTGCCTTTTTAGCGATGAATCATAATTCTTGGGCTTAACTTTTACCTTTAGGATGCGGTTACCGTCGTTGAGTCTATACTTGTCAACAAGTAAATCATCACCGATTCCTTCATAGTAGAAGCGGACGGGCACACTTGAAATAGGATCATGTGATGATTAGCACATGACCGGAATTTTTTAAAAGGGAAAATAACTATTATTAGTAATTCATTCACTGACACGCTACAATCATGATTTGCGCCAAAAAGTGAAACTTGCACATACATGGTTTATAATCGGAAAATGAAAATTTAATATGACTAGAAGGAAATACATTTAACAGTATAAAAGCCGAATTAATTAAAAGAGGAATCGAACGTAAAAATGGATCATTAAATGTTACGAGTTAAATTATACATCGGTATCTAAGAGAGATACGTAATTCAATGCATTTAGAGAATGAATAGTACAACTACATTGTCACTTAGCCGCCGCAGTAATTTAAAGACTTGTCTTTCTTAATGAATGGATAAAGGGTGAGTGGGAGTGTTTCATGTTTCCTACTATATGTATGTATAGTACAGAGTACATATTTTACTTTGCATGCCCATTTTCCTAATCGAAACTAATGCTTTTACACAGAATATGGTGTAACGATATTATGAATTAAAAGTTAGCTCCAGGATTTCTGGATATCTATTCTTATGAATCGATTCTAATATGATCTTTGGAATAAGTTTAATTTCTTTACTTCTACTCAATATTTCAGAAGTAATCGGGTTTACTCCTACTGCTCGAGTAGGCTCAACACAAAATCTAATTGGTACCAAGCTCTACTTTGCAGGTGGATTCACCGGTCTCACCCAACCGTATTCAAACGATTTCTTCTACCTAGACCTATCCAATTCATTCCAGATCGATAATCCACCATGGGTATCTTTGAGTGCAAGTGTCCCAATTTCGCCCACATATTCTACTTCTATTACTAGTCCGCTTGATAATTCCACCATATATCTCATCGGCGGATACATGCAAAATCCCAGTACAAACTCACCAGATAACAATACGCTAGTATATACATTTAATTCTAATACTACACAATGGACCATACCTACGATAGGTGGTAGCATACCAGCCGGACGTCAAGAAATGGATGGTGTGGTAGATAATACGGGAAAAGTATACATCTTTGGTGGATATGTGATAACCAATTCTACCAGTAAAAATGGAAATATTTTCGATGATATTATTATTTTCGATATTAGCACAAATATTTGGTCGACTATTCAATCAACTTCAAACTTTCCAAACCCGCGGATAGATTATACTGCGATACTCTTAGAAAATAATGTGATCGTTTATATCGGAGGGAGAGAATATGCTAGCAGTACCAACCAAACGCAAACATTGGTTAATTTAGACGAAGTAAGTTCTCTGCTCTCCTCTGATTTATAGTAAGTAATGTTAAATATTGATTTTTACAATTATTTAGATCAAACTTTTTGATATTAAGACTTCAACCTGGTCATCAATGGTGAGAATTTTAAAATTAAATGCACATTTTTTTTATATTAATTTCTTAAAATTTTCTTGCGATTAAAGACAGCTACCGGAGTTAATCTGCAGGCGCGTAGGTTTCATAGCACAGTGCTTGGTGAGTAAATATGCCTATATATTATTTTATATAGAGGGATGTTTACACGTTTAAAAACATCTAATTTTTATTATACTCATTTTATTATCACGTATTATTATTTTAGCTAAAAATGGTCAAATTATAATGTATGGCGGAGAGGATTTATCTTACGCTTTAGTTACACCTAATCTTGCCGTTTTAAATACGAGTGCCACGCCATACAATTGGTATATCCCAGCTCTTACAACCGGTTCTAATGACCCGCCACCTTTAGCAGAGCATTCGGCAATTATGTATGGGGACTACATGATCATCGCATTTGGTAAATGTTGTATAATATAGTAGACGGCAATGAACCAATTTATTACGTTTAGTAACTATATTATTATATTATGTAAAATTAGGTCATATACCAAACGCACAAGGAACTTATACAAATTATAGCAATGCGCTATATCTTCTTAACACAATAAATTATGCGTGGACTAATTCATTTGTGGCACTACCTCCTACGACTCCAACTGCATCAACTGCTCCAACTGCATCTACAACATCAAATCCTTTAACCTCCAGCACTTCACAATCAAACAACGGCATTGATCCGAAATTAGTGATTGGGTTGTCTGTTTCAATAGGCATCCTCGGGCTTCTTGTAATTTCCGGAGTGGTTCTTTGTTTAATAAAAAGGAGGAGGAAGGAGGAGGAGGGTATTCTACGAATTCCAAATAGAGACATCACAATCTAAATTATTACAATAATTAATAGGTCAGTAGCATTCAAACAAAAAATGTTTATAGCATGTTTAGTCTAGTGTATAAAATCGTATTTTATTTGCGAAAAATATCTATTAGTAAAGAAAATTAAAAATATATATTACTTTCATATTTATTCTGGCAGATAAAAAAAAAAAAAAATGATAACAAATGTTAACTAATTGATTAATTAATTAATTAAAAAAAAAAAAAAAAAATACCGTTTATTCTATAGTTTAACAATTATAGGAATGATGTTTCTATGATAAATAATCTATTCTAAGTCTACTGTTTAATAAAAATTAAATGACTTTATTCATTTATATATTTTTCTCACGGTCAAATGTGACATTGTAAAGATAATTTTTATACTCATTTAATGAATTCTGTTATTGATTAATAATAAAAATATATAAATAACATTTTCGCAAAATAAATGAGTGTTTGTACTATTTGTACTTACAGTTTCTAATAGTAGATATTCAATTTCAGATAGTGCGAATATTCAAAACTTGAATTTAAATAATCCTAATCCTCTTGCTTAATCCATTCCGGCTTCTTGATTTTTGATCCGATGCGTATAATACCTAGACATGACGGGCTACATACAAATTACACTGACTAATTTGTTAGATCAAGAGACATGAAGAGAAGAAATAAAGAAGATAAAACCTACCGTAATTTGTGTAGATTTTTAGGGCCATGAATTATTTTATCAATAGATTTGCCAGAAGGCAATCTCCAAATGTTGTCTGGGCTGTCGTTATTGGGGTACTTTAAGTGACTTTGGACTGGAATCTGTTTCTAATATTTGGATCGATATCGTAGTTACTGTAATCTACATCATCACCATGATCATAGTCTTGAATCTGCCTCATCATATTCTGAATCTGTCCTGCTATCATCTATATTTTCTGCTTTATCGATAGTTTTTGTTCGTTTTGGAACTTTATCATCGCCCTAAAGATTAAGGTCTTCATTAGGAATAAAATCACAAAGTAATAAATAAATATACATATATATAAAATGCGTACATATACCTTTTCAAAATCATTGTTCCTTTTCCTTTTTGACACACTTTCTTCGGATAATTTAAAAATCACACCATTAATGTTTCCAGAATTTCCCACCAAAGGATTTCCCGTAAATGTTGGATTATGAAGGTGAAATAAAAGTCCACCAATGACACTAGGTGATTCACGCTCACTTTTCCATTTTCTCGCCAAATGATAATCAGGTTGGGCACCCTAACAAAGAAGATTCAAAGAAAGAGTTAGCAAATCCTTAATTAACAGATTTCAGATTTTCTTTTTTATCCCACAAGTTCAGCTTTTAGCCTTGAACGCGGACAACCTTTTAGATTGACCGTGCTCTGTGGGGCCAATGTTAGGTCAGCTTCTAGCAGACAACCTTCTAGATCACCTGGGCCCTAACATTAGCTTCGTGGCTCGCCTTCTAGACTTGAATGACAGAAACCTTGCCACGCCACCAAAACCTTAACTCAGAAGTTCTAAACTAAC